TTCCTTTTATTGAGACCCCAGGGAACAACCCTAGGAGGGAATATTTTGAACAGCATACTCCAGAGTAACTTGCCAAGAGGGAGCAAAGGCCCTACAGCCAAGAGAAAAAAGAGGCTTCCTACCATGGGGAATGGGACCACCCAACCTGATGATGGTCCAGAAAGATCTGAGCTAGGGAAGGTAGAGAAAACACAGAAAAATGTGAAGGGGCACCCCTAGGACCAGCATAGAACATTGCCTAGAGGATTTCCAGTGAGACAGGAGACCATGAAAGGAAGAGGAGATTAATATGTGAGAGCCTTTATGAGAAGAGAGAATCTGTACAAAAAAATAAGGCTATAGAAAATGGAAAATGTTTCCTGTACCTAGCCTTGAAATGGTAGGTGTGAGGTTAGCCCAATCCTGTAGGTTTTGCTATCCATATGTAATTTAACAATTCTGACCCTTTTTAATTGGTATCCCTACTTTTCACTTTCCTCTAAGTCACAAAAATCACTTCTGATAATAGTGCCAGATTAACCTATGGGGGGCTATCCAACAATATTACAGTGCATTAGGAAAAGAGGAAATAGAGGGCTGATTTCTTTCAGTTTACATAGGAGAAGACATGGAAGAATGCAGGATTTTTCACAGGTTCTTAAAATCCATAAAGAAATTTCTGATACTGGCAAAAAATGATTTGTTCTATGAAGCTAAAGGAAAAATAAGAGCAAATTTGTAAAAATTTATACTTCAGAATGAGAATCATTTCTGAATTACAGAGATAACCACAGGTTATATCAGAAGAGAATAGAACACAGTTTACTGGGAATGGTCATATCCAGAATCTGGTCATCCACTTAGTAGAGCTGTGTTTTAAGGTAATGATTAGTTCAAAGAAAATGAGAAGATATAGCAGGTGTCATTTCAGGTAGAGGCAAGATAACAAACACTAATATGAAATGCCCAGTTTGCTGATCAAGAAGGTATGCTTGGTAATAGTGAATTTTTGACAGATGATGCTATTACAACTCTTAGAGAAAGAGAGGTATAATGATGTAGCAAAACCCCAGTCCAGAAACCCAATGGAAAAGGAAGGAATAGGCAGGACAGGCAACAAAAGCAATACAAAAACCAGTCCAAGAGGAAATAACATGGACAGGTAACTGTAACAGGACTTAAGGCTCAGAAAAATAAAGAAAACTCTAGAATAGAGATACTAAATGTGGACCAGTCATGGGAACCACAAGACTAAAATTCTTAACACCTTCCTCTACAGTCAGAAATTGTATAAAACATAGAGATTGCAATAAGGCTAATCCAAATACAGTCAAGAGTCCTTGACTTGCATCAATAATAGATGTCAGAATTTTTTTCTGAGTTCCTTTTTAGGTCATAGAAAGAAATATAGAGATTTAACTAGGTCATGTATAAGATATACATTAAACTAGGACAAAGCACCACAATCAGCAAAGCAGAAATACATGAAAGGATCTATGCCCACACCTTTTAGAAACACCTTGTGTAAAATTAAGCAGAGTAATAAGATACAAAGTCAATACAAAATTAACTGGATTTCTACATAATCATGCCTGTGGGGATCAGAGAAACCTTCGAAAATGAGGCACCATTTGAGAGAAAAGTTGAGCCGCCGAAATAGAATGCTCCAGAATGACTCACTGGCATTAAAAAGAACAACAAACTCATACAGCACAGATTTCTCAATGAACATCTATGAGGGCAATGTGGAGGAAGCAGTGGAGAGGAGGGCAGTTTAGAGAAAAGCTGGACACAGACTGTGGGAAGCGTGAGTGCTCTTCTGAGAGGAGTTAAATAAGAGGTGAAAGTGACACCCAACAAACAAGGACATTGTTCTAAGTAGGGCAGTGACATCTGCACATCAATGCTTTCATAGATTTCTTTCATATGTTTTTTTGTGGGGTGGGGTGGGGTTTACTGGGGATTGAACTCAGTAACTCAGATTCACTCAACTGCTGAAGACATCCCCAGTCCTATTTTGTATTTTATTTAGAGACAGGATCTCACTGAGTTGCTTCCACATCTTGCTTTTGCTGAGGCTGGATTTGAACTCACAGTCCTCCTGCCTCAGCCTCCTGAGTGGCTGGGATTACAAGTGTACACCATCATACCTGGCTTCATAATATGCTAGCAGAAGAAGAAGGAAGTTATATTAGCTAAAAGAAAAGTTGATAAAATCCTGGAACACAAC